ATCTCCCTATTACTTCTGTCTCGATGAATTTGCATCCCTAAAATCTTGTTTGCTGATCCCAAGTCATTCATTTTAATTTTCCTAGCCAGTTGTGCATTTAATTCTTCAATATGATCTTTTTTGGGTCCTGAAGCCAACATGTCATCCACATACAACAACAATATAACAAAATCGCTATCACCAAACCTCTTGAAATAAACACAAGGGTCTGCATTAAGTCTGTTGTATCCAATGCACATAATGAATGAATCAAATCTCTTATACCAACACCTCGGTGCCTGCTTTAGACTGTACAGAGATTTGTTCAACCTACAAACCAAGTTCTTCTTTTCTTTTTCTTCAAAACTTTCAGGCTGGAGCATGTAAATCTCTTCTTCAAGATTTCCATGAAGAAAAGTTGTTTTAATATCTAACTGTTCTAGATATAAGTTCAATGTAACACACATTGCCAAGATTACTCAAATTGTTGTTAGTCGAACCATAGGAGAAAAGATTTCACTGAAATCAATACATTCTTTTTGAGCATATCCTTTAACCACCAGTCTTGCACGATACCTCTCAACTTGATCATTACCATTTCGCTTGATTTTGAAGACCCATTTATTACCAATTGGATTCCTTCCTTGTGGTAGTGGCACAAGGCACAAGGTCCCATTTATTATTTTTATGAAGGGTTTTGATTTCTTCTTACATCGCCATCATCCACAGTGAAGCATCTGAGCTGTTTATTACCTCCTGAAATGTTGATGGCTTACTGTCCTCTGTTAAAAGGAATTATGCAATATTTCCTTCTATAACATAATATGAGTGACAATTGGGACGTCTTTTCACACGATTTAATTGACGAGTTGTTGGAGTTTCAGAACTCTCTGGTTCTTGTTCATCATGTGCTGATTCTGCTTCAGAATGATCTCCTTGTTCAAAATCCTTTTCCACATGTATCTGTGTAGGCTTTGACTTTTCAGCGCTATCATCGTCTTCTTTTCTTTGTAGTTTATATTCTACAAAGATAACATCCCTACTGATGATCACTTTGCGGGAATTGGGATCCCACAAGCGATACCCCTTTACACCATCAGCATACTCCAAGAATTTATATTTCTTGGATTTTGGATCTAGCTTTGAAATTTCTTGAGAGTTGTACATCACGCACACAATACTTCCAAATAAGTGGAGGTTTAAATAATCAGCTGGTTTATCAATCCATATTTTTATTGGTGTCTTCAGCTCTATTGTAGTTGATGGAGCTCGATTCACCAAATAACAGGTGGTATTGACTACTTCTGCCCAAAATGATTTTTCTAGGTCTGTAGGCCTCAACATGGCACTTGTTCTTTCTAACAAGGTCCTATTCATCCGCTCTTCCACTCCATTTTGTTTCGCCACTGTGAACTGTCTTTTTATGCCTTATATCCTACAAAAGTCATCAAATTATTCACTTGTGTATTCTCCTCCATTATCTATTCTGAAACACTTGATCTTATTTCCATAATCAAGTTCCACCCGCGCTTTAAAGTTTTTGAAAGTTGAAAACACATTTGATTTCTTCTTAATAGGGTATACCCAACATTTCCTAAAGTAGTCATCAATAAATGAGACAAAGTATTTTACTCTACCTAGGGATGTAACTGGTGCTTGTCATACGTCAGAATGAACCAATTCTAGAACACTTTTGCCTCTAGAATTTGACATGTTGAATTTCAACCGATGTTGCTTACTTGTTATGTAATGCTCACACAAAGTAAATGATACCATTGTTAAGCCTGGAAGTAGCTTTTTCTCCACAAGGACTTTCATTCCTTGTTCTGACATGTGTCCAAGTTTCTAATGCCATAACATTGCAGGATCTGAACTACATGAGGCAACAGAGGATTATACTTCTAGCAAAGTCTCTCCCTTCAGTATGTACAAGTTTGCTGTTATCTTTTCACCTTTCATCACCACAAGCGCTCCACGGAACACCTTCATGATTCTTTTACGTGTTTCAATCTTGCTTGCATTATTATCCAATAATCCAAAGGATAATAAATTTTTCTTCAGGTCTTTCACTTGTCGCACATCTCGAACAATTTTAATTATTCCATCATACATCTTCAATTTGATGGTTTCAACGCCAATGATCTCTAAGGCATGATCATTGCAACTATACACAGATCCTCCTGAGATAGGTTCATAATGATGGAACCATTCTCTTCTTGAGGTCATGTGATATGTTGCTCCCGAATCAATGAGTCATATATTGCAAATCTTTTTCTGCCTTCCATGGTGGTTGACGTTTCACAACATAGAGCATCTCCATCATCTGAAGTGTTTGTGATATTGCCTTGTCGATTGGAGTTTTTACCTAGACTCCAACAATCCTTCTTCAAGTGACCCATCTTTCCAGTTTGTATCACTTTAAATTCTTTTTGCTTCTCGACTTTAATCTACCATGTTTGTGTCTGCTACTTTAGCCACGTTCTGTTGATCTCCCTCTCATCGTTGTCAACGCTTCTGCTTGTTGCAGATTTACTTGTCTGCCTTCCTTGTTCTTGCGCCGATTTTTTTCTTGTATAACAATAGTTGGTACGTCATCGAAAACTAGACTGGTGACATTACAGTTTGTCAAGTTGATGATGAGTTGATCATACGAATTCGGTAGACATTGAAGTAGAAGTTCAACATGTTCTTGTTCTCCTATTGTACATCTTAAGGATGTAAGCTGAGAAAATAAAGTGTTCAGTGTGTTTAAGTGCTCTGTCACTGAAGTAGATTCTGGCATCCAGAGAGTGTACAATTTCCTCTTAAGAAAAATTTTATTGTGCAACGATGTGGCCTCATACAATTTGGTGAGATGATCCTATATCTCCTTAGTTATCTTCTTCTCCTCGATGCTTTACAATACTTCATATACTAATGCTAGATGAAAGTTTACCATATGATTCTCATCCATTTTGATCCATTTGTTGTCATCTGTGAAATCTATTGCCTTTCACTGATAGCCACTAGACAACCGTCTTTCCTCAGGATGACCTTCATCTTCAATTTCCACAATGAGAAATTTCTCCCATTGAACTTTTCAATATCAAATTTATTTTTCATAGCTTTTATTACGGATAGCTCCCACTATTTCACTATCGTGAATAGTTCTCTGGAACCTTCAAAGAATGTGTAATAACTTCTTACTTTCTTATGTTGGAGGATCCACCTTTTAGTGCACAATGACAATAAGTAGATATTACACACTCAAATCTGACTCTGTGCCAATTGTTGCGGAATACGACTATCGGATAGAGCAAAATCGCAATTGATAATTTGAGAAAATAAAGATAAAGGTAAAGAAAACACAAATTTTACATGGAAAACCCCTAAATAATATAGGGTAAAGACCACGGGAAAAGATAGAAGAATTTCATTATGAGAAAATAGGAATTACAACTTCTCTAGATCTAACAAGGAGAAAACAATGACAATTCTATCTTGATAAAAAGGAGAAAACAACTCTCAAGAAAACTCTCTAAATTCTTTAGTATTGGGAGAAAGCTAGAATGATTTGGGATAGTTTTGAAGTTAAATGGGTTATGGTATTTATAGTTGAAGCTTAAGGACTAATCTTGTAAATACCCTAAAGTACATGAACTAAATTAGCAATTTTCCCAATCCATTTTTTCAACAAAAAATCAGCTGCCAATCTTGAAAATCTAATTTGTAGTAAAATTGGATATAAGAATAATTTTCCCATTCCAGTTTTGAGGATGAAAATGAAATGTTTAAAAGTTTGAAGATTAATTTAAAGAATAATCATATTTTGATACATTTAAAATTTTAAGAACTAATTTAATGTAAGAGTCACATAATCCAATCGCTTGAGACAAATTAAATAGCACCAACTTGATAACTCTATGAAAAATATTTGAAGCCTTATTCGTTTTATCGAATCCTATACTTCATGGAGTCTCGAGCAATCCCCCAATCGAGCTCATACCTTTAGATTCTCTTTGATCATTTTTATTTATTTTTTCTCTCTTTCTTTCAAGATGTATTCTTAACCTTTTATATATGGGGGAGACGACTGAATTTTGGTGGCTATAAGATAGGGAGAGATAAGGTAATAAAGAAGTTATGAATGCCAATAATAGAGGGTTTGAGTTGGTTGGGTCGAGTTAATGTTTTTAGGGTTTATGTTTGAAATTTCATTTAGACTAGGGTTTTAGATTTTAGGTTACCTGAATTTGAATTTGAATTTGATAGCTCGATGAACTATAATGTGGTACTGGATTTGTATATGTATATTATCAAAATACGAATATAATAATATTCTAATATAACTGAACATATTATTATATTATTAAAAATAATATTATGTAAAAATATTTTTATTAAATTATTAAATATTATTAATAAATATATTTTAACAATTAGTTTTTATTAAAATAATAATAAACTATTATATTACTATTAAATATATAAAATAAATCTATTTTTAAAAAGTAATAAATATTATTAATTATATTAATATTGTTATATATTATTAAATAAAAATCTAATATTATATATTTTTAATAATATAAGTGAGTATATATTATTATAATATTAAAAAAAAGATATTATTAAATTATTAATAAATATATTTTAAATATTTTAATAATTAATATTTTAATTAAAATAATGCTAAATTAAATATTAAATACATAAAAAATATTATTTTGTATATTTATGCTTTGAAGTGAAAACTTCAAAAAATATTTTATGAAAATTGAAAAATACTTTATAGAAAAATACAAAAGAATTAGAAAAATGAATTACATTGAGAAAAACATCTTATTCCAATCAAAGATCGGAAAATAAGAAAAATATTTTCCAAAAAATTAGTTGTATCTATCAAACACACTTATAATTGATTTGTCTCCGATATCAACATTAAAAATCAAATTCAAGCATGAATTAAATCAACTCGATAATAAAGAAATTGTTGTTATTCATTCTTTATATTATTATTTCCAACCACTTATTGAATTACAAGATAATACAATAATTGGTATGATAGACGAACTAATCGAGTCCTAAACCTAATGCAGAACCCATCAGATAGTTTAAGAGAGAGAAAAAAAATTGGTATGCCATAATGATCCAGCTTGTATCTGTTGGTATAATGCCCACAACAGGATGCCAATCAAGGTGTCTCTAACCAAGCTTTTGAAAAGATCCTGAACCCACCCAGACTCTGCTTCAGATGGAGTCTTCCCTGCAAGGTCTCTGAACCTCAGGTCCCCTTGGTCCGACACTAACGCATATATAACACCATTCATGTGCCCCTTTCCGATCACGCCCACCACCGTCTTACACTTGTTAACAGCTTTGCTCCGTTTTAGAGACCATGCAAGGTACTGAAATGCCAACACCAATCATATTCGTATTCATTTCCCATATTGCAAATTTAGGCACTATATGTTACTCGAATTCGAAGAGCAGTGTCATATAAGAATTAGTGTTTTATCCATTTTTCTCTTTCAATCACTGATCGAAGGTGTTTTATATGTAGAAATTAAGAATACTTACTGTGTCTCGCTCATGTACAAGAGGTTGGAGAAGTGATGGATATGAGAAGCTTAACCGCTCGTAAAGCTGAAAGGTGTCGTCTCCGTTGCTTTGTTCCTGCAACACAATTGGTAGATAAAATACTTAAGACTGTATAAACTAACAGAGAGAGTTCGCATATGTATCTTGTCTTGCTCCTTCCCATTTTGACCCTAAATGGCTTATGCCTCATGGTCCATAATTATAACCAAGTTTTGCTACTCTATAACAACATGAACTTGATGTCTATAAATCTTACAAATGAAAATGAAATATTACATTTTTATCACCATTTCAGTCACCACTTTTGCTCCTTTCTATAACTGCATATTTTGGTTGCCCTTCACTACTCTGTACATTACTATCTACTACAATTTCAATCACCATTCCCAGTATGACTTAAAGTTCATAAGTTGATCTTACAAACATAATTGGTATTTATGTGTAATGAAATTCGATAGCGAAACCAGAAGCAAAATCCATAAGAAGATATAAATATATAAATGTAAAACCTTGAGATCATTCCCGGATATATCAGATAATGGTGCTGTTATCCCTCGAATGACTGAGAGCACTAGATTAACTTTCTCACTCCAGTTGAGAGACTTCCATGCCCTTTCAAGCTGCCAAAACATAATGGAAGAAAATAAGTTTGATTTTATGCATCAAAAAATATATGGATTTCTGGATGTCATACCAAGGATGTAAAATGTGCATACCGTTATCTCAATTGGACGATCCCCCAAGACTATCTGAGCACCAACTTCTTCAGATGCTTTTCGAGCTGCTCGGAACTGTTGAATCAATGAGAATTATAAATTTTCTTTTGGAGAAAAGAAGAAAATCTGTTGATTAATTTATTTGGAACTCGACAACCTCATCTCCAAAAGGACGGTTGAGATCAGATGATAATTTTGACGAGAAAAGTGCCAAAAGTAGACGCAATGCTAGAGCAGTTTGGCCCCCTGCAATTTACAAGAGCAAAAAAAAGGGAAAACAGTGAGCCATTTATCTAGCACACACAGAGATGAGCAGAGAAGACATTAAAGCTTGCTTACCCAAGTTTATGCTACGACCAACAGCACCAAAAAACCCAGTCCCACTCAAAGAAAACATATTTGATCTTAATTGTTGTTCCCCATTGTCAACATCACTGGACATGTACATGATCCCAGCTCTGAAAATGAACTCTGCAATAATTAACATTAAGATATGGAGTGATGATTTGCTGATATCCTATTTCTTTTGTTCTGTAATCCATCAGGGTGTGCCTGACTCATTCCTGGGTAAAATCCCTTTGGTTCGTAGAAGTAGAATTTTCAATTTGAAGAAAGCCCTTCAAATGTTTCACCAATCTTCTAGGAAAGATTCACAAAGGTTTATCCAATTTATCTATTGTTATACATCTCCATGATCTTTGGAAATCTCCAAATCTCAGTTAAAATAAATTTGCTGAAACTGTCAGCTCTCCACCTGTCAAAGTATTCAGATATGCCTCTATTCACCAGAGTCTCCGATTAGTCTATATCCTCAAATATAGGCTTCTAGTCAACTATCGTGCATAGACAAGACATCTTACTGATGCGTGATACATCAAAACAAAATCTAAAATTTAACTAGCTCGTTAGTATAAAATAGCCATAAGGTCAACATACACTAAAATCCATTATAAAAACACCATTAAAACGTCTTCATTCTCTTCCCTATAATCACCTACCTCAAATAGAGAAACACCAATCAACGATAATTTCCTCACTACAGTTCCATTCTCAAACGAGAAAACCGTCAATATTTGTTCTTATCAACCCGTATCGATAGGTATATTTAACTAATCATGCATGTTCAACGAATTCAACGAGAAATAAGATACAAGAGCATTTGAATCGATCCCTGGTAGTTTCGATCTTCCACATTCGTAGGAGATGAGATTGAAAACTCAAAGTTGAAACAAAAAACGTAAAAAAAAAAAGAACAATTCCAAAACTCGCCTGCTTCTGCAGAGTTCGACCACCACATTGTCAGGCCTGACAGCCCTAACAACACGGTCGACGTCAGTGGCTGATTCGGGCGAAATATGAGTTGTACCCACCAGCCATATCGCCTCTGGTTCAACAAAGTCGGTCCTCCAGGCAGGAACGGGACCGAATTGCCGCTTCTCAACCAACACCAATGCCCCATTCTCCGCCAAGTCCGCCAACTGAGGATGAGTTTGCCCGATTCTGGCAGTGGATTCTGCTAAAATATCAGCTCTGAAATCGAAGTCTGGTGGTGGCGGTTTGATGGAGAACTTGAAGGGTTTAACATGATTTTTGGAGAGGAGGAATTTTGGGTTTGCAGAGAATATTGGGAAACTTGATTTAAGAAGAGCGTCCATGGAGTAAAATAAATGGATGCAAGAAGCAAAGTTCGCTTCAGACTTTAAAGATCGAAAGCTAGATAGTTGAGGTTTGTGTTCCAGGTTTGGATAAGAAGATTAACTATTAACGACTACACATTCTTTTTCTTCTCTTTCTTTTCGAGATTAAGACACGTAAGCTTCATAGGAATATCACGAGTTTTGGACATAGAAAACTCAAATGTAATAATAGCAGACAAAGGAAAGAATTCATCATCAATTGATCGCAAGATTGTGTTTATATAAAACTAATTTACTGAGAAATTTCTAACAAACTAACTAGCAGTTAACTAACAAAAATAAATTCTAACACTCCCCTTAAATTGGTGGTTGAAAAATGTCTTTAATCGTTTTAAAGACTAGATTACTATGCTGCTGAGACCCCAAAATCTTAATCATAATCTCTGCAAGATGACTCGTGGTTGTCACATGTTCTGTCTGGATAAGTTCGTCTTATATCTTCTTCTTTTTTTAAAGAAAATAACAGTCTATTTCTATATGTTTTGTGCATTCATGATAAATCAGGTTTGCGGCAATTTGTATGATTGTTTTACTGTCTCAACACAACCTAATTGGTTCCATGCTCTACAGTCCTATCTCTTATACCGAACCTTTTAACCACACAATCTCAATTGCTACGACAGTCATACAACTGTACTCATCAGCCCCTACAGATGACCTCGCAATAGTATTTTGCTTCTTGGATTTCCAGGAAATTAAGACATCCCCAAGCTTTATGTAAAAATAACTAATGGACCTCCGTGTCATTGGGCATGGTGCTCAATCTGAAACGCAATACCATTTGATCATTTGTATCAGCTCTAAACTATAACCCCTTACCTCACTTATTGCAGTTTCAGTGTGTGTCTGCTATGGCAGTTGTAACCCCCTAGACCCGATCTAGATTTACGATCGAATCTTGGAGACCAAATTCATATTCAGATTTACAAAAACAATGAAACTTTCAAATTCAAGACATGCATCGTCAGAAATTCACCATAAATCCAAGTTCAAAAGCATTAGTTTGTAATAAAATCAAATAAACGAATTCTAACGTCGGAAACGTACAAAACATTAAATCTCAAAGTCCAATAAAAGTATACATATAAAATCAACAGAAAACAAATAACATAAAATCTTAAAACAAAACGTACATACAATGTCCAAAGGTAAACAACTACTAACGATCCTCCAAGAACCGGTCGTAGTCCTAAATATCTAAGTAATCTGAAAGGACAGAAACTAGAAAGTGAGATGTAAAGCCCAGTGTGTTCTCTAAAGAAAAGCAAATACTGAAGTATATCCATAACAATACAAATAAAATGTAACAATAAATCAAAATGCAACATCAATAGTACACTACTTTACCTTTCACCACGGATAAAGAAAATAGGGTTGTTCCCTCTGAAGAGGATTCTAATCAAAAACAGAAATCAGAATGAGGATTTAACCATCAAATGAGGATCCCAAGAGGAAACAAAATAGGGATATAATCCCATGCAGAAACAGAACGATGAATTAATCCTATGCAGATGTCAGAATGGGGAATTAATCCCTTGTAGATGTCAGAACGGGGAATTAATCCCATGCAATGTCAGAACAGGGAATTAATCTCATGCAGAATCGAAAATGCGTCAATGAGCAAATCACAAATGATGATGCATTATTCAGAATAATAAATGTGACAGATAATTGTAATCAAATCTCAAACATGCTTTAGGTAGTAATATTTAACATAATAACATAACAAATCAAAGAATTGAACAGGTAAAGAAGATACATTAGGCTTTACAACTCACTTTCTAGTTTCCTTCCTTTCAGAATACTCATACATTTAGGATTACGGCCAGTACATGGAGGATGGTTTGTAGTCGTTTACCTTTGGACATCGTATGAATATTTTGTTTTCAGACTTTATGTTATTTATTTTCTGTTGATTTTATAAATATACTTTTATGAGACTTTGGGATTTTATGTTTTATATCTTTTCGACGTTAGAATTCGTTTATTTGATTTTATTACGACCAATGCTTTTGAACTTGGATATATAGTGAATTACTGACGATGCATGTCTTTAATTTGAAAGTTTCATTATTTTTGTAAATCTGAATATGAATGTGGTCTCCAAGATTCATTCGTCATGTCCAGGCTAGATCTAGGGGGTCACATTTAATGGTATCACACCTAGGTTTAATTCTCATACTATGTTACCTGTCAAATTTTATATTGTTCTATAAAATAATTTTTACATGCATAAAAAATTTTGGGTATGGGAAATATTTTCTAAAATCCTCCTTGACTATAAATTTTTACTAAATGATTTAAAATTTGTCTACTTTCAAGTTTACACATTCAGTTTTAATACTCCAATAACATATATGACTATAGCTTATGTGTACTCTTTTATTTCAGACTCTATCTTAGTATGCCACCCCGTAAGAGTACACGCCGTCTTGTAGCACCTAGTAGATATGGTAGCGCTCGAAACAGTGGAGGCCAAGAGACTAATTCTGATAGAGGTCCTCCAGTTCTTGAGGTCAAGTAGTCTGATGAACGTACTAGAGCATCTGATTCTTCTGAGCCGATTGGATGTATATGAGCGTTTGATTCTTCTGATCTGACCAAGCATTCTGAGCGTACTGAGCATACACTTATCACTAGAAGAAAATCTGTTGATGATTTAAAGGATGATGTTGTAGGTCGAGCAGTGTTACGTTTACTTCATAGATCTGTTGGGGTTCAGCCAGAGGACAATGCCACTATTATATGGTCGACGATGTTGTGTAACAGGCAGAGTATTTTATAGGGCTTTCTGGAGTATCCCCTTTTTTGGGGAGTACTGGATTGAGGATATTGAGCGTCTTCTGGATGAGATGGATTATATGGTTGAATGAAGACTTCAAACTATTGTTTCATTGATGAAATATGATGCCCTAAATTGTTGAAATTTAGTGGAAATGACTACTTCGAGGGATCAATTGACTTATGAGTTCTTTCAAAGTCTTTTTTAGAGCCAATTTGTGGGAAGTCGTAATCTAAAATAGATGAATCAAGAGTTTATGGATCTGAAACAGGGTGATATGAAAATCCAAGTTTATGAGTTAGAGTTTCTACGCCTCAGTAGGTATGCTACTGGACTTATCACTAATGAGGAAGACAAGTGTCTACTATTTGAGAAAGGTCTGCATGTTGGGATCCGTAGTAGGATTGATGCCCTTCATGAGAGGGAAATTGTTAAGCTCGTGGACTAATCTAAGACTATTGAGGAGATAGAAGATCTCAGTAAAGAGCATTACAATTGGAAAAGAAAGTAATCAGGTTATGAGGGTCCTTCTGGTTATTCTGCTCATCCTGGAAAATGCTTGAAAGATGATTCAACGTGGTTTAATTCTAGGTATATACATGTTACTTATTTTGGCTGGTCTGAGAGTAGGGGTGTTTATTCTACACTACGAGTTGTTCCTACTTGTACTTTATGTAGTAGGCATCATGATGGAGAGTGATTCAATAAGTTAGGAGCATGTTTCAAGTGTGGGTCCACTGAGCATTTTCTAAGAGATTTCCCACAGCCTGCTCTAACTTATCAGGCTTCAGCTCGTTCTCAGGGATCATCTCAGACTTTGAGAAGTCGTAGTCAGAGCCAACCTACCGCGTCTAGTCATGCACCGGGTTATTTAGGTAGGCGCGATTTGCCCCGATTAGAGGTTCTATAAGGTCTAATTCTAAATAGCCTACTCTTGTCCGCTGTATTTTAGGAAAGCCAGTACCACTATTTCTCCAACTACTAGCAAGCCATGATACCCAAGCAACGCCGCCGCCGCCGAAGACATGGAGGCAGTGCCTATACACACCGAAAGCTTCAAGCTTGGCTTCGTCGGAGCCGGCAAATTGGCTGAGAGCATTGCCAGAGGAGTGGTGCAATCTGGTCTTTTGCCTCCTCAGCGTATTTCCACAGCAATTCACTCAAATCCCGACCGTGGTCTTGGCTTCCAATCACTCGGCATCCATGTTTATAGTTACAACAACGACGTTGTGAATGCTAGTGATGTGATCATTTTTTCAGTGAAGCCCCAAGTAGTTAAAAATGTGGTCTTGCAGCTGAGGCCGTTACTTTCGAAGAAAAAGCTTTTGGTTTCCATTGCTGCTGGAATAAAACAGAAGGATCTGCAGGAATGGGCTGGCCAAGGCCGATTTATCCGGGTGATTCCTAACACACCATCTGCTGTTGGTATGGCAGCATCAGTTATGAGCTTGGGAGAATCTGCAACAGAACAGGATGGGAAATTAGTTGAGAAATTATTTGGATCAGTTGGCAAGATATGGAAAGCTGATGAGAAACTGTTTGATGCTGTCACTGGAACAGATGATTGCTGGACAATCATTTTATATAAGCATGCTAATTAAGTGTTGTTTTAAAAGCTTGAACTCGATTCGAGATAAAGTTGAATTTAGGTATGATGATGGATAATGCAGGTTTAGATATTTGTAGGTATCAGAACTATTTTAATGTAGATTTCGATATTGAAGGTTTGAATGAAAGAGTTTACGGATTACATTGCATGCCGTAATGTATCACTAAATAGCCTACTCTTATCTATGCTACAAGACGTCGCGAGGATTAGGATGAGCCTGATGTCATTATAAGTACTTTTACCATCATTTAGTTCATTATTTTTCTTTGCTTGATGGCGGGTCTAACCATTCAAATATTACGAGTATTGTAGCTCATAACCTTGATAGTTTTATTGAGCCGACTACCTGTCTTGTTATTATTTAGTCTTCGGCGGGTTAATCCATAGTGGTTGGTAAAATCTACTATAATTGTCCTCTTGAGCTCTGTGGAGAGACCCTTCCAAAAACCTTATGGAACTTTCCCTGGATGATTTTAATCTTATTATTAGTACTGACTAGTTGAAAGAACATCGGGTCAATCTGAACTATGAATGCAAGAGAACAATTTTGAAGACTTCTGATGATAAGGAAATTATTTTGATTGGTTATTGTCGGGGTTATCTATCTAATGTCATCTCATCTTTGACAATTGAGAAAATGATATGGAAGGGTTCCATAGCATACCTTGCTTAATTTTTGATTCGAGGAAGTCTACTTTTGGATTTGAACAAACCCGTACCATGAGAAACTTTCCGGAGGTATTTTTATAAGATTTTACTAGGTGTGCCACCTGAGAGAGAAGTAGAGTTTGGAATTGAACTCTATTTGGGTACCACACCAGTGTCTATGGCTCTTTATCGCATGGAACCTAAGGAGTTGAGGGAACTCAAGGTTCAGTTATATGAGCTATTAGATCGAGGTTTTATTCAACACAATACTTCCCCATGGGGAGCTCCCATGCTCTTTGTTAAAAAGAATGATGGTACTTTGTGTTTTATGCATCGATTACCAAAAGTTGAATAAACTGATGGTTAAGAAAAAATACATGTTACCGCACATCGATGATTTGTTTGATCAGTTATGTGTTGCAACTGTTTTCTCAAAGATTGATTTTCAGTCTGGCTATTATCAATTTAAGGTAAAAGATTATGATGTTTCAAATAAAGGTTTATGTACTCGATATGGGCATTACAAGTTCTTAGTGACTCCATTCAGGTTGACTAATGCCCCTGCTGCTTTTATGGATATGATGAATCAAGTATTTCAACAGTATATGGATCAGTTTGTTGTTGTTTTTATCGATGGTATTTTGATTTACTCGAAATCTTAGGATAAACACGATAAGCATTTGAGAGATGTTTTGCAGCCTTTGAAAGAAAATCAACTTTATGTGAAGCTCAATAAGTGTGAATTTTGGCTTATTGAAGTGATGTTCTTGGGTCAAATTATTTCTGCTAAGGTATTTCTATTGATCCGAAAAAGATTGAGGCTATTTTGACTGGAAACAACCCAAGATTGTGGTTGAGGTTTGCAGTTTTCTAAATTTGTAGAAGGATTTTCTCTAATTGTAGCTCTTTTGATGAAACTTCTGAGGAAGAATGTGTCTTTTATATGGGGTGAAGCTCAACAGTCGGGTTTTGAGAAATTGAAATATGTTATGACTTAGGCACCGATTTTGATACAACCCGAGCATGGTAAGGATTATATAATTTACAGCGATGCTTCACATATTTTTTTGGTTCTGTTATGATGTAGGATGGTGCAGTAGTGGCTTATGCGTCTCGACAATTGAAGTTGCATGAGTTGCATAAATTTCATAATTTGACATTCTAAGTTAGAGGATTGCCTTAATTAACTCACCTAGTATAATTAGGTTCATAAATAGTTGTTTGATTGTAATTGATTTTTTTTTAAAATCAAGGCAATGTTCATTTATTAGGGAGTTAATATTGTATCCTCTTCATAAATGCTCGGGGATGACCACTAGTGATTCCTGAAGTAAATCAATTTCCTTTTCAAAACCCTACATCATGATTTCTCAATATTTGAGGCAATGTTTGTTTATTGAGATCAATAATGAAACTTTAATATAAATACCCGAGGGTGGTCCTTATTAGTCTTGGTAAATCAACATCCTCTTCAATATTTGAATACATAGTGAATTTTAAATTAAATAAAACACCAAACTCAAAATTTCCAATTTTGAAAATATAGGATAATCGACAATGTACGGATTTTTGCTTTGTTGTTTCGACTTTTGCTTGGTATTTATTTGTGATTTTCATTCTGTTCTTTCCGATGGCTTGGTGGAGTTTCTATAACCCCTCCGCCAGTGGTGTTTTCCGAACAACCCGGGATGGTGCAGTCCCAATCTCTGATTTATTCAGGTTGTTTTTCTATTGGTGGTTCACCAGAAATTTCGGGATGGTTCAATCTCGAATTGCTTGGCCGAAAATCTCGAGATGGCTCAATCCTGATTTGCTGGCGCGTGGTTTCCTTTGTTGGCGCGTGATTCTCACGTGTCATATTTGGCTCCTGACATCCCTTGACCGTGCGACGCCTTTCCTTAATGCAAAACCCCAACTTAGGCTTATTGGGCTTCCCGGGTTGGCTGGTTGGGTTAGGTTTGCCTACCCGGTTGGGCTTCTCCTTGGACTAGATTAGACTATGGACTTGGACTCTTAATTTGGACATGAAATAAAAATAAAATAAATAAATAAATAAAATAAAAGTAAAAAGAAAGATAAGGGAATGGAAAATAAAATACTAATACCAATAATATGTATGTATATATTATATTTCAAAAATAATATAATATGTTTTCAAAGATTATATATATTATATACGTTTTCAAAAACCACTTTTAAAAAATTATATATATATATATATATATATATATTTCAAAATAATATGTTTTCAAAAACTAATATATATGTTTCAAAAAAACCGTTTTAAAAACTATATTATATGTTTTCAAAAACTATATTATATATGTTTTCGAAAACCATTTTTTAAAAACTATATATTATATGTTTTCAAAAACTATATAATACATGTTTTCAAAAATATCTTTTCAAAAATTATATTATATATTTTCAAAAACTATATATATTATATATTTTTAAAATTATTATATATATATTATCATATATACTATATAATGTAATAAAGACTCTTGAAATCCCGGACGAAAATGGGTGTCTACAAAGACTTTGCAGTTGCTTGCTCACCAAAGACTTCAATGAAAAAGAAACATGTCATGGATAATATATTTTTCCACGATAAACATCTACGCATTGCTATCCTTTGGATTATTATCGGGATTGTGTTTAAAAACGAGATCTATTATTAAGAGTGCGAGTAGGTAATCTAATTATAACGTCTTAAAATCTGGCTTGAAAGTATTGATTAAGTCGAACGTTGAGCCTATTTGATTTTGAAAATCTGAGCTTATATTAGAAGAATGCGAAGCTGAAGGGGTTCAATTGAATGAAATCTAAAATTTTGAGACTTATTTCGAAGAATTCAAAAAATGTGCACCATAATGAATACCAGTGAATCAATCTATGGAGTTCATTTAGAGAATCATGAGATTTTGTAGGGATGTGTTCTATAATTTTTTTCTTCTATTTTTGGGTTAAGCTAAAAAATTAATAAAACAAAATAATACTAAAATTTATATTTCTAATATGGTGTAAATGAACAGAGCATTTGATGAACTATTCGTGAATCGTTTGTATAACATTCACTTATATTCGTTTGTTAAGTGTCAGAACGGTCCTTAAGCTTTTTTAGGGCTATGGCGGGGAGCGATCCAACTTAATCTTGGAAAAGATTGAGTTTTAAAATAAAGAACAAATAAATAGATTTGGAGTTTCCATCGACCTTTGGGTTAGGTAGGTCGAATACCTAAAAATACATTTTAAAATAATTTTAAGAAAAATAATTTTAAAAGATAAAAAAATGATATGCGTTTAACTAGAAATCTATTTTGAAAAAGGGTTTGGAAGTCGATTACGCGTGAGGAAGGATTAACATCCTACAACGCCCAAAATCGGTACCTAAGTGATTATATGTCATCCAAATATTGAAATTGGAAAATTTGAATATATATTTAAATTATGATCCTTTTTTAGAAAAAAAATATAAGAGTTGTTATTTTTCACGAACAATTCTCGAAATACCTTCCTTGTCAGTTGAGGGGGCATTTCCATGGATTCCCCGTACAAAATAATATTACCCAAATTTTTAGATTATATATATATATATTAATTACATTAAAAAAATTCATTCGGATTTAAAATGTATTATTTTGTTCGAACAATTCTTGGAAATGCACTCCTTGTCAGTTAAGGCGGTTTTCTATAAATTCCTCGAGTAAAATAATATTCGAAAATATTACAACTAGCGAGTAATTAACAAATATATAAATGATGAAGATGGTGATTTTAGGGATTAAACTATACAACCAACAAGAAATCAAGCCAACCTTTGCAAATATTATTAAAGTAATCATAAATAAACCAACTTCAATCATTCAGGACTACAATGGAAATTATTAAAGTAAGGCACTCAAATTAAAATATTCCTAAAAAATAAGATAACAAGTGAAATGTGACTAAAATGAAATAAAAATAAAAACGATAGCCAAATCATAATCCATTAGTGACTAAAATGTATAAATTGAAGATATCATATCTAAATTATAATAAAATAATAAACATAACTCAAAAAGTGGCTAAAATAAATAAAAACAAAAACCAGTGACTAAATTCGAGTAAACCACAATAATAATAGAGAATAAATTAAAACAAGCACAAATTAGAGCACAAAATCAATGAAATAAAATAAACAGAGGACTAGTGATCGAATTGGAAAAACACACGTAAAGTAGAGAGACCTGGAAGAAAATAAACCAAAAAGTTAGTGCTGATAAATAAAAAGGTAAAATCACTAAATCAGTCCCTAAGCATTTAAAAAATTAAACAATCACTACACATGACCAAAATGTAAAACACACATAAACATTCAAGGACTACACATAAATTAAACAAAATATATATATAGGCGACCATTTTGCAAAAATACGCATAACTTAGGG